TGTTTCACTGACTACGCAAAGGCATTTGATGTTGATCACAACAAATTGTGGTTAACATTGAGGAGAATGGGAATCCAAGATCAACTGACTGTGCTTATGTGAAACCTATATTTGGATCAGGAAGCAGTCCCCAGAACAGAGCAGGGAAACACTCCATGGTTCCAAATAAGAAAGGAAGTGTGTCAAGGATGCATCCAGTCTCCATATCTTTTCAATCTATATGCAGATCATTCTGGAACCTGAGCTTTACGAGGAGGAATGTGACATCAGGATTGGAAGAAGACTCATCAACAACCTATTAGGCAGATGATACAACTCATCAACAACCTATTATGCAGATGACACAACTTTACTTTGCTTGCTGAAACTGAGGAGGACCTGAAGTTCTTGTTGCAGAAGATCAAGGACTATCGTATACAGTACAGATTGAAGCTCAGCATCAAGAAGACTAAGATTCTCACCACTGGGTCAACTGGCAGCACCATGATGGATGGAGAAGAGACTGAAGTTTTAACAGTTACAGCTTGCTCACCTCCACAATCAACACTCTTGGCACTAGCATTCAGGAAATCAAATGATGAATTGCATTAGGTAAATCAAATTAGGTAAAATAAGGTAAAGATCAGGGACCTTTCCAGAGTACTGAGAAGCAACGATGTCAGGCTAGAGGCTAAGGTGCACCTGATCCAGCACATGGTCTTTACAATTACTTGCTATGCATCAGAGAGCTGGATAATAACTAGGGATGACAGAAGGAGAATTGATGCTTTTGAGCTGTGGTGTTGGAGAAGAGTCTTGAACATATCATGGACCACCAAGAAAATGAATAGGTCTGTCTTGGAGAGAGTAAAACCAAGTTTCTCTTTGGAGGCTAGAGTTTTGAAGCTCTGACTTACATACTTTGGGCATATGGCTAGTAGGAACCAGTCCTTGGAGAAGGACATCATGCTTGAAAGAGAGGAGGGACAGCACAGGAGAAGATGATCCTGATGAGATGGATTGATACAGTAACTGGGGCAAAGGGAGTAGATGTTTTAGAGTCAGAGTGGCTCAGGACAGGGCAGGCTTCAGAGCGATTGTGTGTAGGGTTGCTATGAGTCACAGATGACTAATGGTACATAACAACAACAAAAACATGCAAAGATGGATCAACATAAGGTCACATTAATAAAGCAAAGAACAAGAGCCATGTGATACCGTCAAATTATTCAGAAAAGGCCTTCAACAAAATGCAACACACCATCCTGATTTAAATTCTCAACAAAATAAGAATGGAGGGGAGCTTCCTTAACATAGTTAAAAATACATATACAAACCAAGAGCCAACATCATTATAGACTAAAAGTCATTCCCCTTGTAAATAGGGACTAGGCAAGGATGCCCACTATCATCACTCCTACTCAGTTTGTATTAGAAGTTTTTTACAAGGACAATAAGAAATAAGACAAGATGGAAATAAGAGGCATCCAATTGGAAAGAAGTGGCAAAACTGTTGCTGTATAACGGATGTAATGATAAACAAAGAAAACCTTAAAGACTCAACAAAATACCAATTAGACTTAGTAGACCAATTTAATAGAGTTCCAAAACACAAGATCAATCTACAAAGATCTGTTGGTTTTTTCTACAGCAACAAGAAAAGAAAACAAGTAAAGCGATAATATTCACAATAAACAACCACAAGGTGAAATATTTAGACTAAATCTAAATAGAGACACAGAAGGGAGCTCTCATGGCCTAGTGGTAAGGAGCTGCACTGCCAACACAAAGGCATGCTGTTCAAATCCACCATCTGCTCCAAAGGGGAGAGAGGAACAATCTCCTCCTCTGTACTTTACTGCCTCTAAAAATCCACTGGAGGGTCAGCCATGGGTCAATTAGGACTCAATGGTCCATAACAACAACACAGACACAAAAGACCTCTGCAAGACACTATTACAAGAAATAATTGTTAATGTTGTATACTGTCAAGTCAGAACCTGACCCTCCAGTGGGTTTTCAGAGGAAATTTTAATCACACAGGGGCCTTAATTAAATGGAAAAATATTCCCTATTAATGTATAGGAAGACTGAACATTGTGAAAATGATAATCCTACCATAAGTAATCCAAAGATTCAGCACCATCCTAATGTGAAAAACAAGCTCTCTCTTTAAACACATGTTGTTGTTGTTATGTGCTGTCTAGTCACTTCTAACTCATAATGACACTATGTACAACAGCCCTAAACCCTGCTCTGTCCTATGCCAATCTCACTGTCTCTGACACCCCCACCCCAATTACCCCAGTCACTGACTCAATCCACCTCACAGAGGGTCTTCCCTTCCTGAGCTGTTCCTTCACCCTACCAAGCACGAGGTTGCTCTCCAAGGACTGGTCCCTCCTTGCAACATGTCCAAAATATGTCAGACATAGAAAAGGCTATTTTTACTTTCATTTGGAAATGAAAGAGACCCAAATAAGCAAAGCTCTTCTGAAAAATTAAAAATTAAATATGAATCATCATGCTACTTGATCTCAAAACCTATTATACAGCCATAGTAACAGACCAACCAATGGAATACAATACAGAATCCAGAAATCAACTCATCTACCTACAGTAAATTGATATTTTAAAAGAAAACAAAACTCAATAAATGGGGGAAAATAGCCTCTTTAACAAATAGGGTTGGCAAAACTGGAAATCTACCTGCAGAAAATGGAAACAGGATCCACATTTTCACACCATACACAAAAATCAATTAAAACTAGATTAAAGACACAGAGGTAAAACCAAAATAAGAGGTAAAATAGGTACAGATTTAGAAGCCCTACCATATGACACAGTTTTGAAAACATAGCAAAAAATGCACAACCAGAAAAGGATAAAATAAATGAATGGGATCGTCTATAAATAAAATTGCAGACAAAGGAGGACAACAGGTTTTATTTCCCTGTCGAATATCAGTTGAGCATAGATAGCTGGGTTCATTTCTGGGTTCTCAATTCTGTTCCATTGGTCTATGTGACTGTCATTGTACCAGTACCATGCTGTTTTTTATTTTTATTGTTTGGCTGGGTTTTTAAAAAAATGTTGTTTTGGTTACTACCATGGTGTAGTAGGCTTTGAGGTCACAGAGTGCTATGACTCCCACTTCACTTTTGTTTTTTAGAAGTGCTTTGATTACTCAAGATCTCTTTCCTCTCCAAATAAACTTGACAATTTCTCTAAAATTTCTTTGAAAAAGGAATTTGGTCTCTGTATTGGGATTGCACTTAACATGTAGATTGCTTTTGGTAGGATTGTCCTTTTCACAATATTGTGTCTTCCCACCTATGAACAGGGAATATTTTTTCATTTATTTAGGTCTTTTATTGTGTATTGCCGAAATGTATGTAATAAGGAAATAAATCCTATTACATGGGGAAATAACTACCTCTTCAACAAATGATGCTGGCAAAACTGGACTTCTACCTGCAGAATGCTGAAACAGGATCCCATCTAACACCATAAAAAAAAATTAATTCAAAGTGGACCAGAGACCTGGGAGTAAAGCCCAAAACCACAGAGTTGTTCAGAGACAAACTGGGATCAGGCTTAGACAGCCTAGCCAATGGTATAAAGAGACTGTCAAATATAGCCAGAAATGCACTATCTGGAGAGGATGAAACTGAAGAATGGGATCTTCTAAAGATTAAATCCTGTGAACACTGAAAACATTTCCAACAGAATAAAAAGAAAATCATTGACTGGGGAAAATATTTGGCAATACCATTTCAGACAAGGGTCTCCTATGAAAGGTTTACATAATCCTAGAGGGCCTCCACAAGAAAAAGACTGATAATACAGTTATAAAATGGGCAAAAGACAGAAAGACTTTTCACAGAAGAAGATACTCAGATGGCCAACAGACATATGAAGAAATGCTCAAAATCATGGGCAATAAAAGAGATGCAAATTCAAACCACAATGAGATACCATCTCACCACAGTTTCAAAGTTTAACAAGACAGCAATTAATAGATGTTGGAGAGGATGTGGAGAGATAGAAACTCATACACTGTTGGTGGGACTGTAAAGTGGTACAACCTCCAAAAGGTGAACATAAAAATTCTGTATGACTCAGCTATTCCACTGCTTGTAACATACACTGAGAAAATTAGAACCATGATACAAATAGAGATTTGTACACTGATGTTCATAGCAGCATTATTTACCATCACATGCCCAGCCCAAATGTCCAACCACAATCAAATGGACTGAGAAATTATGGTGCATTCACATGATGGAATAGTACACAGCATGCAGGAGCAATGATTTTGAAAATTACTACCTAACTTGGGAGGGTCTGCAGAACATTATGCTAACTGAACTGACTCACTCTCATAAGGACAAATACTGTATAAGACTGTAAGACCATTATTTCAGAACCTGTATAAGGATCCAAGGTAGGAGGGCAGTAGAGGGGTTAGGCTGGGCAGGGGTTGGATTGTTAATTATAGGGTTGTACAATTTGATGAGTGGAGGGTGGGGTGGGTAAAGGAAAGGAGAAAGATCTGGTGTGAAAATAATATATACAAACTTTTAAGTAAACCAGTATAAAATCATTTACTGGTACTGCATAGAAAGCAATTTACAATAGAATTGATCTATGTTCTGAGACACTAGGATTACACATTTCTAACACTACCTAACTCTCCCATGGGTAGAGCTAACATATCATTTGGAAGGTAACTATTGAGTACACCAACTGTTGTCCAGTCTGTTTCACTGGCGGACTGTCCTATTTGCAGAGGTAAAGGTAGGACAGTCAGGCAGGTAAGTGCCAGCCTAGGTGGGGACGGTATTCATGCCAGCCCACAGGCCTGAGAAGATCAGTGTCAATTTCAACATGAGGTCCATTCCAAGTACTTATGCCATTGTAATTGCAAATAAAAGTATTAAATCATGGATAATGGCATTGAACCATGTTACCCTCAAATTCAATTCTCAGAGAACAAATGTTTCTCTGACTTTTTTTACCCAGAAAACTGTGGGCTGGTCTATCTTCCACCACACGGATCCTCCGAGCTCCAGCAGGAATGACAACCGCTTCAATATAACCTGTTACAACAAATGACACAGAGAAGTCACATCTCCACTCCTGACTCACAGGGACTGCAACCCAACCCCAACATTCACTCCACCACAGGCCATAGTGGCTTTCATAGAAACACTTTAAGAAATCAAAGTGGTCCTTTTTGTTTTATGAACACTGAGTGCTATTCTGCGGACTTTCTCAGCTGCCAGATGCCCAGGGAATATTAGGGGCATGAAAGTCTACATACATGGCACTACCTGTGAGCCTGAAGGAAAGGCACCTCTGTTATTCTCTATTCCTCTGGTTAAATGTTCCTTCACTTTCTGCTGCATTTTGAACTTTCTCCTGAATATCTCTGGGATGACAGTAGAAGCTAAGTAATTTTCCCCATGACAGAAAGATTGTCTCAATACACTGTTTCCTTTACTACTTCCACTACCATTTTGGTAATGTGTAATTTTGCCTATTTCCTTGAATATTTCTAAATCCAATGGGGGTGTTTAGAATAATCTTAAATTAGATCATTAGCATCCTCATGCGGTTCCCCAATGATATCAATAGGATCAGTAAGTAAATTAAAAATCATGAGAGTTTTCTGCACCCAAGCTCCCAGAGATTTTTCCAGTGGGAAAATCCTTTTTGAGAGGTTGAGTTTACATCTTCATTTTCCTATAACAAGATAGTTTATTTTTGTTATAAAATAGTATATTAATATTATTTCAAAAATAAAAGAGGCAGTAATGAAAACCAACTGATAGCACCCCACAACATGAAAATTATCTCAATGAAAACAACAGTTCAGGGACCATATCCTCCAACACTTCATGCATATAAATATACACATATAATTTCATATCAATGGTCTTGTAAAATAATTGGCCTATCTATCAAAAGCTAGGTAATATGTATTCAAGTTACAAAATAGAAAAGTTATAAAAGGTTCTAGTAGAAAGTGTATGTATTTTGTAAGACATATCCTATAGCTGTTGATGTTGTTGTTGTTATGTGCCGTCGAGTCGCTTGCGACTCATAGCGACCCTATGTACAACAGCCCTAAACTCTGCTCTGTCCTGTGCCAATCGTACTG